GCACACTAAATGTCAAGTGATGGAGACAGTTGGAGTGGAGCTCTGCTACTCAAGCAATGGGTGATATGCAAAATATATAGACATTTGCATCTCTCGGTCTTCCACAGTTTTGGCAGAAACTCTAGTGGACATTGATTTCCTAATGGGATATCTCTAAAAAGGCACAATTCTTTTTTTCCAACCTTACCTATGGCCATAAACGTAGGGGGAGTGATTAATAGAATCAGATCACAGGCAGAAGCTGCCAAAGTGTGGTTCTTATATTCACTGGCAGGTGTAAGACTTAGTCATATGAAACCAATTGCCACCACAAGTGAGGGTCTTCAGGATTAGCAACTACTTCTCCAGATCAAGAGATCTCCAGTCCATCATGACAAGTGAAGGACCAGTTGGCAGACATTGTGCAAGGCAGGAAGGCTGTCTTGAACAGCTTTGTTACAAGATGCTCAACATCCCATCCGCTTATCTTGAGTCCATTGCCCAGGGTTGGGAACATTCCAAGGTTGGATGAACAGTAATGAAAACGAACACCGCAAGCTCGTATGTATCGGATATAACGTATGCAAGGTTTAGGATTATAGCCTCATTTGTTGGGCTTCAATGAATAATCTATTTTTACCCTTCCAAAGTGAATGGTTCTTCTAGTACATACATGTTAGTCAGTTCAGTAGTCAATAGAAGAGACCTCCATATGGCGCACCTTACAGTAAGGCAAATCCAGCTGTGCCTTTTCATTTCTGACTCAGAAAAGTCACCCTCCCAAAATGATAAAAAAGTGATGTTACCTTCACTCAATAAAATTATATCCAGTATTTTATCCTTCATTCTTTGTATATCAAATTACATTTAACTATAATTGGTACTAGATCATTTCTGGATATCCCTAAAAAATATATCATTGCCAACTTGAATCCAGTATGTGCATCCATTTGCAAAGCAAGTCCGGAAGTTTCCAATGCAGGTTGTTGTTTTGCTTATTAATTTCTTTAAGCATTTAGATTTGAGAATGCCAAAAGATGCAGTGGTACCAGGAAGATGAGTCCAGTTGTCACTTTATCAAAACCTATCTAATAATTTGTGTTCTTTCCCTGTGTGCTGTACATAAAGTACCTCCTAGTAGTATCTTAATATTACTTTCGGTATTAGATCAGGGCTTCAGACTGAGAAGCTGCACCTCCAAGTGTGAGATGAGTCTGGCAATATGTAATTGATAGAAATCGGTCGGGTAGGCTTTTCTCTTGGTCAGGTGTTTTGGCCATTCATAAGTTCTTAATGGTCCTTTAAGTACTTCTTACTTGACACTCATCCAATCCGTCACCCTTGGCGTCTGGAGGCACACCGGTTGAGAAACGAGACGAGCCCAGTGGCACTTAAGAATCGGTATTGAAGTTTTCGCTTCAGGCCGGCAAGTGCAATTCCCAAAGATTGGTTCTCAATCTTGTACTTCCTGATCTGAGAAAGTACTTGCGCGTTAAAGGTGAAGCTTGGTGGACTCGAAATCCTGGGTAGAGGCATGAAGTCTAACGGATACTGGGTGAACGCAAGTCGCGTGGACAGGAGATGTGAGCAGGAAGTATGTATGGGACATGTGGGCTGGGTCTGGCTTTGAGCCCAAAAACATGGCGTTAAAAGGCCCCTCGGCTCGCACCTATCCGGTCTAGTTATACATAGTATATACGAGTACACGTTACGTTGAGGGATCCCTTTGGGTAGAATCTCCGAACGAGTCGATTCCCGATTCCGCTGCCACGAAGCACGCCCCATGGAAGTGTAGTTGATAACAAGCCACCAGATGTCTCTGTACTATTTCGACCCTCCCCTACCCCTTGGAGTGTCGCCTCTAGTTGCACACTCTACTCTCTATTCTAGGCCATAAACCAGGCTAAAAAAAACCTTGGTATACTTTTAATCCATCTACTTCGAAAAGATTCACCGTCAAGATTGCAATTACTACAGGGTGAGTAAAGAGTCCTGCGCAACTTTTAAAGAATAATTACTTCGAAATGCTACTTTGAATAAGACGTGGTTTATACCATTCGGAAAAAGAGTAAGTAAAATCTCTCTACTCTCCCTACTCTATCAAGTAAAAAGTGTCCTTCTTAGATTATTATTTGTTAGATCATCTCTTTTTTTCCTGAGACGCATATTGAATTCCTTTTTCGGGGGCATTTAAATGCGTTCGCATTTTAAAACACGCCAGCAGCGCTGAGTCACGTCATCTTGCGTCTGATAGATTGTGTCACCGATGTGATCGATTCTAATTGAAAGAAGTTAGAGGAAAACGACAGGAACGTTTGACAGCGTGTTATGCGTGAGGGTGCGCGATTTTAAACTCCTGTTAACGCGTTTTGATTCCAATGATTGCAGGCGCTGCAACTCTCCCGCTGGTCTCAAGGAGAGTGCATTCGTATTCGATAAAGAAGACGGAAATGTTTCGCGCAATATTGATATATCTGATAGCTGTGCATCCGAAGCACCATCGAAGTTGCATGCGCGTCGACAAAGACAGCCGTCAAATTGACCCTATGATATTCGTGCTACTGCTTCCTAACGGCAGTCCCGGTTGGACAATTGATATTCCGCATGACCAAAAACGCTACCGCTTGCATCAATAGTCACTCCGCTGCAGTTTTACACGAACAGAATTATCGTGCATAGAGTTAAATTCGACCTGTTACATAGGAAAGGAAAATTGTTACAATAGTACTCTGTGCACGGGCTTGTTATTTCCGAATCCAATCGATTGGAGTTTATCAGACAAAATCAAGAACAGATTAAGTGCCATCAGCGCTTGACCGATCGCATTGTCGATGTCGCTTTTGAGCAGCACGCGCGTTTGAAACATTTTCATTTTCCCTTCGTCATTCATAGGTAGCTCGGGTGACGCAGAAAAAGTACAAAGACGCAATAGCAATTGTGTGCAAAAGCGGCCGCCCGAATATGTTCATCATTTTCACCTTTAATCCGAAATGGGTCGAAATTGGCTCAGAATCGGGCGACAACCCTGATGCTTCTTCGTGCCTAGACATTGTCGCAAAGGTATTTGAGATGAAGGCGCTGAAGTTTCTCAAATATATGGTGCAGAACATAATTTTCGGCTAGGTACTAACCGACATCTATGTCACTGAATTTTAGAAACGCAGATTGCCACATCTACCTTCGTTGTGATTTATGCGCGATGCGGAAAAGGTGATGATATCGATCGAGTCGTGAGTGCAGAATTGCCGGACCCCGATGTCGATCAGGGACGATTTAAAATCATCCTGAGAAACAACATTTACTGTCCTTGCGGGCATCTTAAGCCAAATTCGCCATGCTTGGAAAACGGGAAATGCACTAATTTATTCCCGAAGCAGCTTAAAGATGAAGCCGATGCTACCGGTGGCGGTTATTCTCGGTACCGGAGTCGTGGTAACTGAGACGGAAAGTATACTTTTCACAGAGTGCCAGTGGATAATAACCATTGCTCGGTACAACAAATCTGGGTAAAAACGTGCAACGCTCACATCGACTTCGAGATATGCTTCATAGTAGACGGTGTAAAATACATGTTCAAGTACTGTATATGCACAAAGAGGACGGCTACGTTGAGATTCGTAAAGTGATCTACGAGAACAACGATCAGCGCGTTGCAACACAAGATGAGATTCCCAATTTTCTCGACTCTCGCTACTTCAGAGCTCATGAGGCAATGTGGCGAATCCTGGAAAACCCAATACACGACACGTCCCATGACGTAGTTGCCCTGGCAGTTCATATGCCAGATGAGCGTTCCGTTCTTTTTGAGTAAAGAAGGGTGGAGCCGTTGCGTTGGACAAGTGCTAGACACACGAAATCGAATGCTTTGTTTTCTCTGCACGAAACGAATGCGCCCGAGCAATCATGTATCAATACATCGCCAATCGCGACACATTCACCAATTTTAATTCATGGAGAGAGCGCGTATAGGGTGTCGATCAAGCAGTGAGACGTAGCGTGTCCCGATATCCAAGAAATTTGGAGCCATACCATCTTTGTATACTGCTGCAAGGTGCCCTGCATGCAATCGTTCCAACACTCATGTACATTGAGTGCAGCAGTGCTTCTAAAATTTCGCTGTGTAGAGCGTGAGGTAGAACTCATCTAAGATGACGAGGAATGGAACCGATGTGTAGCTAACAGCGAACTGGACGTGATACCTAGAGCGTTGATTTGGTGGGACGCTATGATCCTCATTCACGGAATCCCCGGGGATCCTCTGCGCCTTTGGAACGACTACCGCTCTAATAGGACTTAGAACTTAGTCCGCAATTGGGGATATTGAGGAGGTAGCCAAAGCGCTAGATCTGAGTGTGATAGGAAAAATACCAAAAGCTGGTGAGATCACATACGTACAGATGGGACTTCAAGTCACTCTCTCCCCTATGAAACAGTCTACTCCCTCCACATAAACACGGACTGCTATTCATGCTCACTTAATCTATATCACACGTGCCCGTACATCTGTCCAAAGTCAGTATACAAAGGATTTGTGATAGGTACCTCCTACAATACCGCGCCCATAGAAACGGCATGTAATGTACTCATTGCAAACCTCCCTGAATTCTTCGAATCAATTGGGATTGGGAAATATCTAGAAACAAGAAACGGATGAAAACCGCTGTGGAATTCCTTTACGCCGCATATGGTTCCCAGACAAACAATAAAAGGAAAAGCAACAGTGAATACCTTTGCAAAGTGTTCTGGAGTTGACGGACGTCAAGCGCTAGAGATCAGGTCAATAACATTTCAGTAATATTCCTGCGTCTTCCTAGCGTTCTCAACTGTTCTCCGAATTCAGGTCACTCTTTCCTCTCGGAATCATTCTACTCTCTCCATACACCCCCGCGCTGCTGTTCATGTTCTCTTACTCTATGCCATGCGTGCCCGTACATCATCTATCCAAACTCACAATCCAAAGTATTTGTGATAGGTACCTCCTACAATACAGCCCCCAAAGGAAACTACATGTATCTACTCACTGCAAACCTCTCCGACTTGTTCGAATCCATCCTTGCATTGGCACGTCTTTGATTCTTCTTCTCCGATGCATTCCGAGTTCTCTACTGTGCAATTTCCGACGGTGGTGTTGCAGAGATCCCCCAGACCAGGCTCATTTCCAACTGTGGGAAGGAAACGTAGACATCGCTATGAATGAGAATCCGCTGATTAATTATCAAGCAACTGATCCCGGGTTTGCGGTGAATCATGTCCTGCGAGGGTGTCAAAGGGGATTTACAACGTCGTTCTTTCTAGAAATACGACGACATTTCGTGCCCATAAAACTATCCGTTTCGAAATAGGTAGAACTGGTCCCCATACCCCATGTGTAGTTTCCGAAAAAAAAGTGTGGCATGTGAACGAACAATTCTGCAGAGTGTAGAATCGTTCCATAAGTCCAATCTCGTTTTCATATGGATCCTGACCGCTCTTAGAGGATTTCAAATACAACGCCCTTACGACGATTTGTGTAAGGTACCTCCTACAATACCGCTCCCATGGAATCTGCATGTATATACTTACTGCAATCCTCTCCGACTTCTTCGAATCCATCCTTGCATTGGCACGTCTTTGATTCTTCTTCTCCGATGCATTCCGAGTTCGTTACTGTGCAAATTCCGACGTCGGTGTCGCAGAGATCTCCCAGTCCTGGTTCCTTTGCAACTATTGAAGGGAAGTGCAGAGATGGGGATTATTGGGTGAACATCGATCGATTCTCTTTCGAGTTATCTCGTCTCCTCACGTATTCTTTTTCGAGGAAACGGAAGAGGTGTCTGCGTTATGATTGGGTGAATATCAAATTAACACGTCCTATTTCACGGTATCAATACAATAGGTTTCATGACGGGTCACGATATCATAGCTCTCCAGAGATTGTCGCTTAAACATTCTAATTAAAATGTACTTTTGACGCATCTGATAGTTCTTTAAGCAATAGAATCTCGCATGAGAGGTTTTTACAGGAACAGAGTTGAGTTTTGAGTCACCTCCTGAATTGATTTTCCCGTATTTCTTAATTTTTTTTCACTGAAAGAATTTATATTTGAAATTCCTGCTGACTGAGTAGTATACTAACCGTCAATAATGCCGGACCAAGAAGGATTTGAGCAATTTTAATAACATAGGCACCATAATTTCTTCTAGCTTATTAGAAATTTATTGGAATTTGAGGAATGCTCAATGCCGGAAGAGTTGTGGAGTATGGCAACATCCTTGAAGTGGCCACTTTACTTTTTCCTTCCCATCAAGTAGTTTTCCTGAAGGGCTGTTGTTGAAAGTTTTACTGCGAGCGAGTTCCAGGATGATATCCTTGACACTTATTTCAACAAGGTTTTACGGCGTTTCATTGACGTAGTGTAACTTCCTGCTTACTATACGTTAACACGGTTCATTTAGCACGCTGATTCAGGATGGTGATACATGCATCGAAATTTCTCTCTATCGATGAAACACCTTAGCAATATGTATGAAATGCCCCCAAAATCTCGTATTTGCATTGCCTGGTTGTTAGACACTCAATAACGGCTGTATAAGAAAACAGCTTGAGGGAAGGAACAAAGAAACTGCCGCTTCAATGGTGCCGTCTTTCTCCCCAATTCTTCTGGCATTTAACAAATTTATATGAATTTATTAGTCTCACTATCTGGAAACTTTCCCCGATTTTTCTGCGTATCGCTAGGAGTTTCCCTCTCAATCTCACTGTAAAAACCGTCTAATTAACCGTTTTCGGCCATTAATATCCCAAGTAGCAATTTTTAGCCAAAATAAATCCATTGGACATACCCTCATGGACACTTGCACATCCAATTCATATCCTCCTTGCACATCCCCTGGATGACTAAATGCCTCGTCCAAGGATAATCCCTGGATTATTGGATGGACTATTGGATGTCCGTCTCTTTGGTTCCATTCGAGATTCCCTTTTGGGAAAGCTTTTGGATGACCATTGAGGGGTGCAGCGATAGTAATTCCCAGGTATTTATGGAGCATAATTTGCATGCTCATGAACATTCATGGTGTGGGAAAGGGGGTATTTGCTGTATTTCGACAATCTCGTGCTCCCATGTTTCTTGGAGGAACTAGGAGAGGAGTGTTTGGACGGAAATTTCAGTATTATTGAGCCGAAATTCCCCACTTATCACCCTCATCTCTCAATGAAGACATTGTTTCTCCATCGCCATTGGCGACATGGTTCGTATAGGGAAGGTACAGACTTACTTGACAAGGGAACCACACTCTCATCAGGCAATGTGCATGAATCGCCGGGAGTCTTCTTGAGCTATGTTACGTCTCTCAGCAAGTGAATTAATTCGAATGACTTCACTCCTAAGACTTGTACGTGGGAAATTATGGAGTAAAGGATGAAAGCTTACGCATAACAATTTGTTAGCATTTTGGCAACCGGGAGACACAGCGCCGGTGTGAGCGCGACCTAGCTTATATTATGGGAACTTTACATTCCTTGAATGAACTGCTAGATGTCAGGTCAGATGGAAGGCCTCAACGGGGCGGGGATTCCATCCAAGGACATCCAATGGAAGACCATAAGAAGTTGTCCTTGGAGATTCCATTGCTACTATGGATGTACTATGGATGCCCATAGAAGGACTGACACATCGTTTCGTTCGTAATGTCGAAATCTAAATTAAATCATGCACTGGTCAAATTATAATGCCGCACTAACTAAATATTGATTGAAGTTACTGGGTTGCGTCCTAAGGTGGGATTTTGGATGGGATATATCTATTAGAAGAAAAGAACAAAATAAATCCCATGATCGGATGCTCGTAACGCCTTTCCATAAAACCGTCATTCCATGAAATGGAAATAATTGAGAGTTCAATGCAGAGAAATTCTGCGCGGATAAAGCTCAGAATGCATGAGAAGATATCGATCCATGGCGATGGCATCCTATGTACATCCAAAGGACGACCGCCTCTGGACTCTGGACCATCTCTGGACAACTGGACAGTCCATGGATGACTTTTGGAACACCCATGGCTACTTGGGATGGTAAAAACCTCAATTTCTGGCCACTTAAGCTCCTGTTCTTGGCCACGCTGATACAATCCCATAGGAAGTGAACACCCTGTGCGCACATCGGGAAACATTAGTAATAGGTCCTCCAGATATGCTGCTAGAATGCCTGGAAATGGCCAGACTAACTAATTATGCTGGATTTAAGTCTCACTGGCCAACAACTGGAGACCGGCCTGAAACCGGGGTGTTTACCCTACGACCCCATAGCCGCTATTGAAATTGAATTAGTTGGCATGCTTTCCTTATTAATATTCATCTCACACATTTGAAATTCTAATCAATTTCGTAGCATGCTGGTATGGAGCTTGGGTGCAAAATTTCAAGGTCGCTCCTTCATAAACTCCTTGGTCGTGATATTTTTGGCGATGAGTATACATTTATTTCTCGCAGTAAATTCCCCTGCAAAATTCTATTGACCTGACATGAAATCATTCCGAAGTGAAACTGCAGGGAAAATTCTCTTGTCTTTCAATGTGGAGGCTATTTATTTTACCGTATCGTGGAGGAGTTGCATGATATCTCCGACAGGGACATTATTTTAACTCCTTGAACTGCTTAAAGCAGTACGACGGCCTACAATCCATGATGATAGACGGTGAGCAGTCCCAGGGTTAAGGTACTATGGACACCAAAAAATCGACCCCCCTATATAGGAAATCACTTCTGTAATTGTTGTACAGGACCACAAGGAAGGCCTCTGGAGCCCCTCACTTCGGGCCTCAGGTGAACCGCATGGCCAGAAAGTAGGGTCAAAGGTCACGTCTGACCCACTCCTCTTCGAAAGTCATTATCTCCTCAATGGCTTCACCTAAATTGCTGAAGCTTGCACCATTCCCTTCGTCTTAAATAGATCATTCAGAAGAATGTAAGAAATATTGATATTTTATCCGTTCGTTATTACGGGCGTGGAAACGCGAAAAGCAATTTCCTCGAAACCTTTGCACCTCCAAAACTTGCACAAAAATCAATGAATCTCAAAAAGCATACATGAGTTTATGCGTTTCCTCCTGTTCTATATTGTGGGAATTTTCGTTAAATTATTTCTTTACATTTCTAATGAAAATACGAAAAACAGCTCGAAAACTTAATTTTTTAGGTTCTAGCGCGTTTTCATTAAGAACCATCGAGGTTGCGAAAGGGACACTCGAAAACGAAATTGTAGATACAGTTTTTTAGAGTGGTTTTCTAAGTTTCACGGCCCTAAGAGAGCTCTTCATTTATACTTACGGTTTTAAAAAGCCCCAGATAATGAAAGTGTGGGGATCGCTGACAACTTTCACCTCTTCTGCCTTGACCGTCTGCGATTTCTTCACAATTCCAGTTCGCATTCAAAACGGGAATGTCTGAGGAGTGATTTGGAACATGCATCATTTGTCTATTCCCATGTAACACTGAATAGGAAGAAGTTTTCCTTGAAACGTTTCGCGATTAGGCGTAGCAGACGAAACCCTCGCGGTCGTCTCCGCTCTATGCGCCTCCGCTCCCCTTCATGCCGTACTTCGCGTGCCCGCACATCATCTATCAAAACTCACTATCCAAAGTATTTGTGATAGGTACCTCCTACAATACAGCCCCGAAGGAAACTGCATGTATCTACTCACTGCAAACTCCTCCGACTTCTTCGAATCCAACCTTGCATTGGCACGTCATTGATTGTTCTTCCTCCATGCATTCCGAGTTCTCTACTGTGCAATTTCCGACGGTGGTGTTGCAGAGATCACCCAGACCAGGCTCCTTTCCAGCACGTCTTTGATTCTTCTTCTCCGATGCATTCCGAGTTCTCTACTGTGCAATTTCCGACGGTGGTGTTGCAGAGATCACCCAGACCAGGCTCCTTTCCAACTGTGGGTAGGAAACGTACATAACGATTTGAATGAGAAATCGCTGATTAATTATCAAGCAACTGATCCCAGGTATGCGTTGAATACATCCTGCTAGGGCGTGGAAAAAGGTGATGTACAGTGCCGTTCTTTCTAGAAATACACACACGACGACGACATTTCATGCCCAGGATCCGATCGGATTCGAAATACGTGGAACTGGACCCCATGCCCCAAGTGTAGTTTCCAAACAAAAGTGTGCAATGTGAACAAACAAATCTACACAGTGTAGAACCTTCCCATACTTCCAGTCACGTTTCCATAAGGATCCTGACCGCTCTTTGGGGATTTCGCAAAGAACGATCTTAAAACGATTTGTGATAGATACCTCCTACAATACCGTTCCCATGGAATCTGAATGTATCTACTCACTGCATTCCTCTCCGACTTGTTCCAATTCATCCTTGCATTGGCACGTCATTGATTGTTCTTCCTCCATGCATTCCGAGTTCTCTTCTGTGCAATTTCCCACGGTGGTGTTGCAGAGATCACCCAGACCAGGCTCCTTTCCAACTGTGGGCAGGAAACGTAGATAACGATTTGAATGAGAAATCGCTGATTAATAATCAAGCAACTGATCCAGGTATGCGTTGAATACATCCTGCTAGGGCGTGGAAAAAGGTGATTTACAGTGCCGTTCTTTCTAGAAATACACACGACGACGACATTTCGTGCCCAGGAAACGATCATATTCGAAATACGTGGAACTGGACCTCATACCCCAAGTGTAGTTTCCAAACAAAAGTGTGCAATGTGAACAAACGAATCTACACAGTGTAGAACCTTCCCATACTTCCAGGCACGTTTCCATAAGGATAATTCGAAATACGTGGAACTGGACCTCATACCCCAAGTGTAGTTTCCAAACAAAAGCGTGCAATGTGAACAAACAAATCTACACAGTGTAGAACCTTTCCATACTTCCAGGCACGTTTCCATAAGGATTCTGATCCCTCCTTGAAAATTTCGCAAATAACGATCTTAACACGATTTGTGATAGATACCTCCTACAACACCGCTCCCATGGAATCTGTATGTATCTACTCACTGCATTCCTCTCCGACTTGTGCGAATTCATCCTTCGTAACCGTGCAGTAACTAACAAGAAGGAGGTACGTAAGGCTCAAGAGATGACACGTTAAAGGCTGCCACCACAACGTCTCTAGTGGGTCTGGTCCGAGGAAAGGTTGACACCCATCCTTTGCATCTTAACGATTTGAATGAGAAATCGCTGATTAATTATCAAGCAACTGATCCCAGGTATGCGTTGAATACATCCTGCTAGGGCGTGGAAAAGGTGATTTACAGCGCCGTTCTTTCTAGAAATACGCACGACGACATTCCGTGCCCAAGAACCGATCGGATTCGAAATACGTGAAACTGGACCCCATACCCCAAGTGTAGTTTCGAAACAAAAGCGTGCAATGTGAACAAACAAATCTACACAGTGTAGAACCTTCCCATACTTCCAGGCACGTTTCCATAAGGATAGCATTGGCACGTCATTGATTGTTCTTCCTCCATGCATTCCGAGTTCTCTACTGTGCAATTTCCGACGGTGGTGTTGCAGAGATCACCCAGACCAGGCTCCTTTCCAACTGTGGGTAGGAAACGTAGATAACGATTTGGATGAGAAATCGCTGATTAATTATCAAGCAACTGATCCAGGTATGCGTTGAATACATTCTGCTAGGGCGTGGAAAAATGTGATTTACAGTGCCGTTCTTTCTAGAAATACGCACGACGACATTCCGTGACCAGGAACCGATTGGATTCGAAATACGTGAAACTGGACCCCATACCCCAAGTGTAGTTTCCAAAGAAAAGTGTGCTATGTGAACAAACATATCTACACAGTGTAGAACCTTCCCATACCTCCAGTCACGTCTCCATTAGGATCCTGATCGTTCCTTTACGATTTCGCAAAGAACGATCTTAAAACGATTTGTGATAGATACCTCCTACAATACCGCTCCCATGGAATCTGTATGTATCTACTCACTGCATTCCTCTCCGACTTGTTCGAATTCATCCTTGCATTGGCACGTCATTGATTCTTCTTCTCCGATGCATTCCGAGTTCTCTACTGTGCAATTTCCGACGTCAGTGTCGCAGAGATCTCCCAGTCCTGGTTCCTTTGCAACTGTTGAATGGACGTGCAGGGATGGGGATTACTTAGTGAACATCGATCGATTCTCTTTCTAGTTATCTTGCCTTCGTAGGTATTATTTTTCGAGGAAACGGAAGAGGTGTCTGCGTTATGATTGGGTGAATATCAAATTAACACCTCCTATTTTACTGTATCACTGTAATAGGTTTAATAATGGGTTACGATGTTATAGCTCTCCTGAGGTTGTCGCTTAAACTTTCTAATTAAAATGTAATTTTGACGCATTTGATAGTTCTTGATGCAATAGAATCTCGCATGAGAGGTATTTACAGGAATAGAGTTGAGTATTGAGTCACCTCCTGAAGTGAATTTCTTGTATTTCTTAAATTTTCTTTAACAGAAAGAATTTATATTTGAAATTCCTGCTGACTGAGTAGTATACTAACCGTCAATAATGCCGCACCAAGAAGGATTTGAGTAATTTTAATAACATAGGCACCCTAATTTCTTCTAGCTTATTTGGAATTTATTGGAATTTGAGGAATGCTCAATGCCGGAAGAGTTGAGGAATATGGCAGCTTCTTTGAAGTGGGCATTTTTCTTTTTCTTTTCTATCAAGTAGTTTTCCTGAAGGGCTGTTGTTTTAAGTTTTGCTGCGAGCGACATCCAGGATGAGATCCTTGACACCAATTTCAACAAGCTTTTACGGCGTTTCATGGACGTAGTTTAACTTCCCGCTTACTATACGTTTACACGGTTCATTTAGCACGCTGATTGAGGTTGGTGATACATGCATCGAAATTTCTATCCATAGGTGAAACACCCTAACAATATGTATGAAATGCCCCCAAAATCTCGTATTTGCATTGCCTGTTTGTTGGACACTCAATAACGGCTGTATGAGGAAACAGCTTGAGGGAAGGAGAAAAGAAACTGCCGCTTCAATGATGCCGTCTTTCTCCCCAATTCTTCTGGCATTCAAGAAATTTATATGAATTTATTAATCTCACTATATGGAAATTTTGCCCGATGTTTCTGCGTATCCTTAGGAGTTTTCCTCTCAATCTCACTGTTAAAACCATCTAATTAACCGTTTTCGGCCATTAATATTCCAAGTAGCAATTTTGATTCAAAATATATCCATTGGACATACCCTTAAGGACACTTCGACAACCAATTTATATCCTCCTTGGACATCCCCTGGATGACTAAATGTCTCGTCTAAGGATAATCCCTGGATTGTTGGAAGAACTATTGGATGCCCGTCTCTTTGGTTCCATTCGAGATTCCCTTTGGGAAAGCTTTTGGATGACCATTGAGGGATCGTTATCGCATCGGAAGTGCATGAGTGCCTGAGTGCCTGAGTGCCAAGGCCGGGAATTTAACTGATTCTCCTCCTTCATTATCTATGAAGACATCTCGAGCTACTTTCTTTGTTTCCTTACAATTCGCCTACTTTCCGAAATTCAAAATTTTTTTTTAAGGGCAGGATTCCGTTTGGATTCGCCTTTCCCTTCATTCGGTCATCATATTTTGGCGTTACAATGCAGAGCATGTCACTCCAGGGCTTACCGCAAGTCGCTTAATGGCATTTTCCCCCCTGCCTCTCTGGTAATTAGAAACCAATTGGTTTTTGTTAGATATAATTACAAGTACTAGTTCGAGGAAACCAAAGTAAAGGCAAGGCAAATGTGATTTTGCTACTCAAAGTACCATGAAATGGTGCAATCGTACTCCATACCAAAATGTTGTTCATTAACCCTTTCACTGCTACGCCTGGGTATACCCGTCTTGAAACTTTCATTTCCCGGACAAAAAAAAACGGAAAATTGAAGCCATTGAGAACATTTTGACCACATCCTCATTGATGTTGAGGACATGTAATTGGAATAAAGACCAAATAAAGGGTGATGCCCAACATTGTCATGTTGGCCCTTGCACCAAATTCATTGAATAATATATCATTTGAAAAGGTGTCCTTTGCCGAGTGATAACATACCACGTTTACTCCAATCAATAGTGTTTGAAAATGTTATGCTTGGTTATGTTACGATGAAGGTATTTTGCATTTGTTTTTCATCATAACACATCCTTTCAATAGTTTCAAGGGAAGGGATATGCAGACTACTATAAAAAAAATCAACTGAAATACAATTGAATTGTATTTTGTATAATCTTACCGTGTACTTACGCATTCTTAACTCTGAATCATATATTCAAACTTTTTTGATACATTTTCCAATTCCCAGCTAAAGTTCACTTATCATTTTCAAATAATGTTCTTTCTAAGTTGTTGGCAATGCGTTAGGCATTTAATGGGAATCCCATATGAAAAAAGCAAAATAATTTAACCGAACATGAACTAACTTATCGAAACCTTTCACATTTGGATTTAAATATATATATATATATAATTCTTGTTCACAAGTGAAACCGATTAAATAAAAATTAATTTCATCAATATATATTTTTGGAAAAAATCGGCTAACATAAATTAACTTCAGCCTAACCCAAGTTTTTCGAATTGCTCAGATTTGAAAAAAAAGAAACGGAATTTTTAGATTTGGCTAAGGACGCCCTCACAAAGTATTCACATATCTTTGAAATTGGTTTAAGGGCCAAAACTGCGCATACCCCTTTAAGTTCCCATGACGGTTGGTATGTTTCTATATTCTAATAAGCTTTCGCATAAAGATCGTAAATCCGTACAAGGGTAGCCCTCCTTCCTTCTATTCCAGGTGGCGGTATCCTTTGAATTTGAGGATTTACATGGTATCCCAGAATTGACAAAATATAGACCCATTCCCCTAACCTTTGGCCTAGAAAAGCATTGTTTTCTTGGCCAAACGCCTTACGCTAAGGAAGCAGAGGCCTAGGTTAGAGTGGAGTGTATACAAAACCCCTATGTTCATGTCTATTCTGGGTTACCCTGTACAGAAGGTGATCAAAAGTTTCCGAACACTTTTTCAAAATCGATTTTTTCACATTTACTTGATTAAATGCGTGTGCTACATATATACAATAGAAAGGAAGATCTGCATTGTATTTACGCGGCGAGAAAATAAAACCGACGCGTTTATTGCAGTTAAAACGCGCACAACATGGTTTTTTGTGCAAGCGATTTTCGGTATCACCATTTCTCACTGGTGTGTTTCGTTGGCATGGTCATCCTGAACATGGCCTGGAGTTGGAGGATCCAGTCTCGACATACGTTTCAACGCATCACAGTCGGTTGCAAGGCCACATCCGACTGTTTTAGCGATTTTCCGATATGAGTCACCACGTTTATGGCAATAAAAAAGGGTGCCACGTCGCTCTTTCGTGAGTTCCTTTTTTCCCATCTGGAAAAGTTAAGCGGAAAAATCCCTTGCCCAAGAAACCATGTTGTGCGCTTTTTAATCGAAATAAACGCGTCGGCTTTTCAGGTCGCGTAAATAAATTGCAGATTTTCATTTCTACTGGATATATTATACTGTACCACACATTTAATCCAGTAAATGCCGTTCATCGTAAACGACCAGGTAACTGTAGATTTGGAGCCTTGCTTCTACAGGATCTCAATGCTCCCTCCCAAGCACCTGTCACTGTGGCAACCTACTGCATAAAGCACAAAATGGGAACGTCTATCAACAACCCGCGAACTCACCATGACTGGTAATGTGGGACATTATATTTATTCTCGTGTCTGAAGTTTCACTTGAAGGTTCGGCTGAAGGCTTGGTTTCGATAGATTGAGGAGGTGCAAACTACTACGACGGCGGCACTGAAGGTGGTCGCAAAAAATTGCAACCAAGTTTCACCCAACTGTATCATCGCGGCAAAATGGATGTGACTATCTAAGGAAACTAGTCTGAAGGACATCATATCCTATCACCCCTGGCTTAACAGGTTTATCCCCCCAATGTGGTTATGACTTCTTGACAGGCCCTCTTACATTTCGACTTTTTTGACTGTGTTTCCTCAGCCAAGGTTTCCATGAGTCAAGTACATTTTGGACTCCCCATCTGTGTCCCATTTACGCTTCCAACTACATGTTGATCAGAGAGACTACTCGCTGCAAACATCTACATCCTGTACATATCCATATTTGCATTGGCACGTCTCTGATCCTGCATCCTCGACGCATTCTGCATTTTCGTTTATGTAATTTTGCATGATAGCGTCACATGGTTCCCCCAGACCTAGACTCCTATTAACTTCGAAAAAAAAACATAATATACGAACAAAGAAGTTACCAAGCAATATATTTCAATAATAAATAACGTATGCGCTGCAATTTGTCCTGGGAAAAAGAAACTGCTTTTTTTAAACAAGTCACTAAACTTCCTGTAATAATTTTTCTTTGAAACAACATTTGATCAGGTGCTTTCTCTTTCCCAAACCTAAAACAATTCATCAAAGTAATAGTGCACTTGTTTCGGGAGGAACTGCTTCTCCTGCAATTTCTCTACTTACCACAGTGAAGTCCTTCTGGCTGGAATTCTTCCACACAATTGCACTGCCTCAGGCAAACAGCATTTGCGACACAGTTGGAGTCTTCCGCACAGCCTCCCCCTGGAGGCTTCTCTGCAGAAATGATATCAAAATCAGCTTTCCCACATGCTCACAAAGACATGCAAGATAATGGTAAAATTATTCTGACGGAAGTGATACTGAGATTTTCAGTGGAACTTGAATCCTATCTATAGGGTGGTACCGATCACCACTCTTTAGCATTACTTACGTTCCTGGTTCAAAAGGTATTTTCACGAGGGTGAAGATAAAGCACTTTGATGAGGTGATAAGGCATCTGGAAAGGGGAAAATTACTTCATCAGAATAGGAGGAATCAAATGGGAATGCCATGTCAATACTAACGGCGTTCTACCGAAGGACCTATATTGTTTTTGTCATCATTTTGATCATCGACTGAAAGGGAATATCTAATAAGTTACTATGAGACAAACACTTCATTGCACTGTCGCCTGGAATTTTTTTCAAATTTCGTATAAAACAGCATATTATCACAGAAATATTCATTTATTTCAACGTAGCACACTTGGTCAGCGAGTTTCTGGTTTTGTTGCTGGACAGTAGATGGTATGTCCTGGCTGACTCCCTGCAAAGTTGACACATACATCCGTCTTTGCTTGGCGGAAGGCATTGGAAGGCATGTTTTTACATACCTTGAAAAATTAGGCTGTCGAGACAACACACAATGCCCTTTTTGTACAGAAAGTGGAACCCTAATTAACATATTCTGGGTATGCACAGAACTTACTGCATTGAAGGAATACGTTTCAAAATTATTTTAAATGTTTTCTCCACCAGTGACTTTGAATCTCCAAGTTTTCATTTTTTATTGATTACCAAATCGAGGGCAATATTCGCCACACAACATCAGACTCCTTGATTTGTTTAATTACTTTGGCGAAAAAGTGTATTTATGATAAATTCATTTAAGGTATTAATAGTGACTCTCCTATTCAGCCAGAGTGCCTGAACATCTTCAAAACACGTCTTCAAAAGAGTGCAGGAGGATTATTTATTCTATTGTATACAAACACGGACATCTGGACTATACCAGGCTCAAGGATACGTGGAATCTGATTGCAATACCAGAAAGAACTTCCTGGATTGTGTTTGTACGAGACTGAACAATAAGCATGTGATTCCATTCAAGGTGAATTTTGACATATTTATTTATTTTTATCTCTATGAGAGTTTAATGTGACAAATAAAGTGTCTTGTGAAACCTCGTTCCTGGGACCACTTCTTTTTCTGCTCTACATAAACGACTAGGATCTAGAGGTAGAGGGTATGATAAGTGAATTTTCCGGCGACACTAAAATTGGTTTTTCAGTAAGGGGGAGGGGAGGCGGATAGGGCTAGAGCCGAGAGAGGTTTGAGCCTTTTGGATGAGTGGAGCAAGAAATGGTTCATGAAGATTAATAAAAGTAAATGTAAAGTTCTCCACGTCAGTCGAAATAACGGTAGGTCTCTCGATGCGTTCGGCGAGGATAAACTGGGGAGGCAAATGGAGGGAAAGATCTAGGAGTTTCTATCGACGAAGACCTAAAGTTTTCCTCGCACGCGCATGCTACAGCGGCCGTACGTGACAGGATTCTAAGTTTCATTCATCGTTCAGCTGCAAGTAGGAACTCCCGCATTATTCTTCCGCTATATGCGGCGCTGATAAGACCCCAGTTGGGATATTGCATCCAGTTTTGGAGGCCTACAAATGAGGGTGAACTGTTGGCACTCGAGGGGGTACAGAGGAGGGCCGCAAGAATGATAAGAGTTAGGGGACTCCCGTACGAGAAGCGTTTAGAAGTGCTGGGACTGCACTCGCTAGAGAGAAGGTTAAGGAGGGGCGATCTCATCCAACCTTTCAAGATAATTAAAGGAATGAATAATGTCGAGTGTAGTAGGTTCTTTAGGTTCGATGGCAGCAAGAGAACGAGAGGTAATCGGCTCGAGTTGCGTAAGCCGCAGGTGCAGCTCAGATTGAGGCAGGACTTTCTTTACTTGTGGTGTGGTGAATACGTGGAATGCGTTAGACGACGACGTAGTGACTGCCCCTTCTGTGACTATTTTGAAGAAACTAGATGCTTTCATGGATAAGCTAAAAGGGGGTCGATGTTAATTTCATGAAATTGTTGCCTATCCTCGTAAGCAATAATGATATGCGAAAAATAATTGTAAAAAATACAAAATTATTTCGTTTTAAGAGGAGTAGTTCTACTTTAAAATTAAGGAACGCTTAACCTCGACACATGGTATCCAAGAGGGTGTTTTCGCCTCTCGATGCCATTAAACCACCTTGAACCTTGTGTCTATACTCAGCCACCTCTCCACAGTCGTCTTCTTCATGCGAGAACCACTGAACTGGCGCCTCTGCACACTTTACGCCCGTCTTTTATGCTTTAATTCCTGTACCGACTATACCACATATCTGGGCAAGGTTTCAGGGACGTGGTAATTTCCTACCCTGATCCTCGAGGCCTAACTGCAAAGGAGGTTTTGCTACGAAGCTATAACCCATTGCAAACATTCTGCACTCACAGAAGTCATTTTCGCGTGAAATGTTAAGCTCTGCGTACGCAGATTTTACTACGGTTGTGAATCGGCATATGCCACTTTTACTATGGTAGTTGCTTTAGCGCACTGTAACTTTCACCACAGAAGTCGTTTCTACAGGGTAGCTTGTAGCTACATCAAGGATACCCTATGCCTTAGTTTTCACTTTTTAGCGCTGAGAGCCTCAAGGCTACAATGCCACAATAATTGCAATGGAGATCAGTGTTGCCTTCAAACTTGATGTAGGCCCAGCCTCCGAGTACCAGACGTGAAACAGTCAACGCAAATGGTCAGGGAAGCCCTTTGGTGGACACAGCCGTTGAACAAAGAAACGTATTCCACCTGGTCCTGAATGTGTGTCCATCAAATATTACAGCTCTGCGATGAATAGTATTCACGTTACAGGTGATTGCACAGGACAAGAAACCTTATAAGTTCCCTGTATCATTCCTATGTTGGAGCAACGAGATCTCGCCGAAACAGGAGTCTTCCAAGATGACGCGCCGCAGCATTTCGCAAATCGTACGACCCTGCCTTTTATTACATTTTCCCAAAGCGATCAATTGGTACGCCCATTCCCACTCCTTGGGCACCTCGCTCTCTTCAACCAACACACATCCATTATCTTCTCTCAGTAACATGTCAAAAACCTTTCTGTGGCGGGGATGTGATAGTAAATTTGAGTGGCGAGTGAACCGTGACGGACGAAGGTTTTCGGGTGAATGTTTCTTAAGGAGTTGTAGAATCACAATAAAATTAAGGCCGTTGCTGTACAGCAAAATAATTATAATTATTTCCCAAAAAGGCAACAGTAGATGGAGGGAATCCACAGGCCTGTCGACGACCGGGCAGTCAGTGACTGGACACAGTGAAGAGTGAGTCAGTGGTGAAGAGACGAGGAAGTCAGAGAGAGGAAATGTACTGAGTAGAGTCGCAGCATAGGCGTGGACGAGAGAGGCCGACAGTCTACCACTAAGTCAGTAGAGTCAGACTGTGTAGGCGAGAGAAGGGGGACGTGAAGGGGCGTGCACTGGGTGCATGACCCTATCACATTTGTGTACATCTTGATTCAAGATCGCGTGAATCTGCTTCTAATTTTTTCGAACTTACCATCAGTCAAGACGTACAAAAACGTCTTGACTGATGGTAAAGTTTTTATTCATATCATTCCGTGTTCAGCTACTGAAATTTTCCAAATACAGTCGACTCCGCATAATGGGATACCGCGTAATGGAGTACTCCACACATAGCCAAAAAGCTTGGCCCAATAATGGCCCGTTCATGGCAACCTCGGCAGATCATCGGCATTGGCAGACTTGTTTGGCCCATTCCTGGCTCTAGCTTGGCTTCCCTTATTTCGGCACTTCGTTGGTGGAGAATATAGGCCCTTTTTTAGCACTAGTCTGGTTTCACATTATTGGCGTAACACTGACAAAAGACACAGGCCCAATTAAGGCTCCAGGTTGGCTTGCAATTAAATTCGGCATATATCGTCTGCACGCAAAATTGCTTCGCCAATATTGTCAATTTTCGCGAAGCCTTGTCTCCCTAATTTTGCCCTGCCATTATTGATTCCGCATCAAACAGATGGCACGATCCAATGCGCCTCAATTGTACTTGGAAGTATCCGAGAATTGATGATCTCATCTAGGCCACTGGATGGCAGCATGGTTCTCGCTTTCCATACGGTACCCAAAACTACCCTTCCACCCTTCTCTAGATTCGTCATTCACAGCAGTATATAATACCTCCTTATATACTTTGTCATGTCTCATAAAGGCAATCAGTTGAAGCTGTCATCTTCTCATTCATGATCTCCATAAATGAGATAAATTTATGGAGATCAGGAATTAATCACGTTAATACTGCCTATAGGAACCCCTGCCATAAAGGGGACTTTGATCTTATCCACCCTTTCTTACATCTATGCAGCCACAACTGTCCTAATCGCTTCCATCACCCACCAATTAAGGCAGTTCAGCGTCAATCGTAGGATCTCTCTCTTTAGCAAGTCTGTCTCATTAAGCAGCTATCCTCTCTATCTGTCGGGACAAGCAGGGAGCCTGATAATGTTTTTCTTAATAGCTGCCACCTGTCAATCCCAAGTAGCTCACGGGTCACCTGATGGGTACCTAAAACTTATATATATGCTATTACTAAATGGATAGGATTTAATAATCTTTAAAAGTGGGTATAAAATAGCCCCAACGTGTTTTCATTCCTTAAAAACGAATTAGGTCTCATCTTTTCCTAGGCTGCTATTGCAACTGTCCTAACTAATGAGTAATCTGTTAAACAGACGGGAGAAGCCTCGGTCTCCGACCGGGACAATGGGGACCATTCCCATTGTCTAAATCAGCTTCGAGGGGATCTTGCACCTGCCAGCCCGCTCGCAGGAGGGTCTCATCGGGACTGGTGGGACCCCTGATGTACCCACCATCAGGGAAAGGGGCTAGTCCCCCCATTAGCTCCTATTCTTAAAAAAAAAATGTTGAACTTCATCATTCTGGATATTCAAAACTTTGAAACAATGTTCTAGTATCTGTGAAATCCAGCCATCGCCCTTCTCATACGGACAATGGGATAGGATGTATGGTTTGAGTTTGAGTGTACTACTAAGAACAAGGGAGTGGAGTATCATCTCTGGAGTACCAATGTTGATCCTCTTGAGTGATGACTTAGCTCAACTCAATTATAATTACAAGTATATTGAGGATCATTAATAAATAGAAGTGATTCGGCAATATTGGGAACATGCGGAAAATATATAAACATATGTCGCAGGAAGTTGACCCCACCATGCAAGTTAAACTTGCATAGTAATTCATCGTGCAAGTTGAACTTGCAAGTCCAAATCGTCGTGGATTACCTTGAACAGTCCACCACAGTGTGAAGGTTGAACTTGCATGGGCAAACCCATATTCATGTTATGCACATGTTCGTGCAAGTTCAGAGAAGCACTTCATCTCGACCAGAATAATGATGTACAACCACCGGCACTTGCTTTATTTTCGAGTCAGCGTGTGAAACAGCATGATATGATGTAGTTAATTTCCCTAATGAATGAATGAAGTAACTGCTTCATGATGTCAAATTGTCCATGATTAAGGAATCTGCAACAACTTTGTCAATCTCTGCATTCAAACCTTTCTGTTAAGCACACCTTTTTGATTCATTTGTTGGAACACGTCCATGACCTGTGGCATCGAAAGTTGCACTGGCTACGCTATTGGCTATTGGCTACGCACATGCACCTTTTGGTTTTGTTTTTTTATTCTAGATATTTCGTGCGCAATGGCGTATTTTAAGGTGGGCAGGAGGGGGGGGGGCAGCTGCTCCCCTGGTGCCCCTGGGACTGAGTCTGGCGCCCCTTGGAGATAATAATTTTTTCTCCTGATACCGCTTGGGTGGGGTTTGGCGCCCTGTTCCCCCCCTCCCCCCGACCCTTCAGCCAAAATACGCCACTTAGCGTTCGCCTTTCTCACAAGCTTCTCTTCATCCCTCGAAGACTAGAACGCCCTAGTGCTTCAGGATAGTTTTCCCATGCTTCAGCCGAGCTTTTTCTTATTGATCTTTGTAGCCTTGACCTCCACGACGAGCCTCTCATACCTATATATCGAGAACATTGTGTAGTTGGGAGACTTCGTTTTTTCTTAGAGCTCCAACAGATAATCGTTGAACGTGCTCATTATCACGGATTTGAAGGAGGATTAATCATACGAAAACCACTGGAGCTGTTGAAGAATGAGAACGTTCACTCTCACTTGTATTGCACTGAACAAGGTGAGCGAATAAGGCGAGTGAAAGCGAAAGGATGAAGGCGCCATCCTTATCGTTTTCCCAAGGCCAGGCGCACTACAAGTAAGTCTTATTCTTGAAAAAAAAATCGTCTAACCTCTCTAGGTCTATGCCTCTCTGGGCCATATGCTAGGCCATAAAACCTTATGATTCCTAACATATGATACGCCCTGTATGTACAGGGTGGTCCAGGTCAAGTTTTACGAACCAAAATGTAATTTCCTTAGAAACAGCACGTGTTAGTGACTTGAAATTTTGCACAGCATGTTCCTGACATAATTCACCGGACATGAAGTAAATTTCACGCAAATTCGCCACCCTTGACCTTCATTATGGCCTTCAACCTCTTCTTGAAGTTGTTGGCGATGTTCCTCACCTATTTCATTGGAATTTCGTCCCAAATACGTACCAAAGTCTGAGATGATAGAGATTGTGGTGGGACTTGGAACAGGCCTTAGACTCGAGGATCAACCACATGGCGTAGTCAAGAGGGTTCAGATCTTGAGACGAGGGGGGTCATGGTCACATTAGCCTCATGAGACGTTGCTCCGTCTTGCTGGTATGTCCATGGCTCATCCTCAAACAGATATTGAGCCAATGGGAGCAGGACGTCCAGCAGGACGGATTTCATGTAAATTTTCTTGATTTTGATGCTCTCGGGAACGAAGACGAGGACGCACTTGCCCTTGTCGGTGACGGCGGCCCACGCAATGATGGAGACCGGCTGCTGGATGCGGAACACCATTCCAGAATGATCGGGAATCTCCACTCGACTTCGCACCTAAACTCAATCATTTTCCTTGTTGTGGAAATTTCCCGTCCGAGAAGACGATGTTGGGGGCAGAACCATTCTTAAGCCTCTCTAGAGTCTGACGAATTCGGGCCAGTCTCTTACTCATGGTGGCTGCAACGAGGAGCCGTTGCTTCTGGAGTCGGTAGGAGGTGAAACATCGATCGTTCTTGACCACCATCATCATCGTCGACCTCGAGACATTCTTCTCCTTCGCCACCTTTCTGATGGATCTGTTGGGACTGCGCGGAATCAGGCGCTTTACTTGGTTGACGAATTCGTTCGTTCTCGTCGCTTTCCTGCTGCCTTCAGATTGCCTGTCTCAAGGTATCGATCCGATGTCCTTTTGATGAAGGCTCTGCTCAAGTCCAACTTCTTGCCCGATTCTTCAATGTCTGGTCTTTTCAGGCCAAGTTCATGCAGTTCTGCGACTAACAACCACCTGGCTTTTAAAGTATTTCCTCCACTGGTGTTCAAACGACAAAGTAAAATTCAGGGGTGGATTGAACAGCAGCGTACGATTTCAACGAATAACATTTGAACTACACAAGTCAAATATTTGGTGTAGGATAGGACTCTAAAATTGTGTTACACTTGACCTCAACCAACCTATACATTTTTATGTCAGCTTATGCAGTGTGCGAAATGCTATTTCAAAAAAATGAAACTTTTTGATCATAGGTACAAATCATCTCCGAGAAGAATGACAACACCTGATATTCACACAATCTTTGAGCATAGAAGTCTGAAGCTCCTTTTCATATAGCAATACGAATGACATGCATCTTGATTTTTCAGCACTCCGTTGATGCTTTGAAGACAATGTTATTCACAGGAGTCACAAGATAGCATTCCTTCGGTTCACAAATAGTAATAGACTAAGACTGAGGAACCACTTTCTGAATCCATCTGCTTGGGTCATGACACTTCCCCGCACCACATTCAAGGTTCAAGGTTGTTTAGTTTTATCGAGAGGCGATGACACCCATTTGGATACCACGTGTCGAGGTCGAGCGTTCCCTAATTTTAGGGTAGGACTACTCTTAAAGCCAAATATTTTTGTATTTTTTGTGATTTTTGTGATTTTTTAAATAGCATATCTTAGTTGCTTACTGCCTAGTCCCTTAAGTCAGCTTACCCGCACCACATTGTCCTTTCTTGTTTCACGCAACGCATCCATGACTGCCCTTTACTCCAACGGCTAGGAATTTCCCTGATCGTTTGTGAAAAGAAGATACTTCATTTCGTCCCGCAGGTTTAGCAATAGCCCGACGGGGTTATTCCTTCCTGCTCAGAAGAAGGTACTCGAACCTACTTAGTCTTCTACTGAATATCTATTGATTTTGAAGTCCTCATGGGTAAAGAGTGCCACAACTAGACGAAAATTATACATGGACTCCCTGTTAGTACCTATGGGAACGGCAGGTAAACTATGAGGAAATGTCAGGTATTGCTATCGGTCTGTCGGGGGAAAAACAAGAAAAATTTAGTCTGTCCGCTGTATCCATAGCAACCGGACTACACGACTCACTGCGCATCCGTAGCTTTCCGTAGTTAGGGTGCCAGTCTACGACTAAAGCATTAATTTCGCCTTCAACCATCGCAGATGACGGACTCATAGTAGACATTGGGAGGGAGCGGCTACTCGTGGCTGCGTAGACAGGGTTGTCCAACGTACTCATGAAATCCCAAATCTGGCATCCTACAATGCATACCGTCTTCCCATCTCCATGCAACGCGGACGCACAAACCAGTGGGGCCATGATCTCGTTATTCGAGACTATTCCCTATGAAATTCCCTGTGTATCAATGAAAGCTTTTATTTTCTGAGTTGGATGCTAAGGATGCTCCAAAGAAAGATTATTCCTGAAGTATAGAGGCAAGTGGAATGACAGATCTGTACATGGACTGGTACTCTTATTAGAAAAACGATTTGCTGCCACAGTCTCTCATAGGTCTTCAAAGTGTTCAGGTATTAGGAGCAGGCCTAAGCAATTATCACCGGAAGACCAACATTGATCAGCAATCAATGTGCTTGCTTCTCTTATCCAAGAAGTCATTTTGAGTTCATCGGAGGTAGGGATTTACGGCATAAAGCTTCTATGGCTTCATGCTTTAGAGCAACGCGGCGGTAATTTATTTCTAGTTCGACGATTGGCTGTAGATAAACGATTACTTATTGCAGCCTCCAGCTTCCTCGACGTATTAGCTCTCGCATCGGCAATACTTTTGCATAAGGTTTTTTGCACTCCGCCTTTTCCATACATTCATTATTGGTTTGACATTCTCCACCTCTGCAAGAAAATGGCCAAGTCGACTCTTAAAAATTGTACTTCGGCAAGACGTAAGCAAACACCAAAATTTGAAGATTGTGGAGACGTTCTTCAAGCTCCTTCCTGGACTTGTGAAAAATCAGCAAGGAGGAGGTAAGAAAGAGATGTTCCATTACCAACTTCCAAACGTGCACTGGCACTTGTTTGGCAAACACCACGTTATTCCGGAACAATTCCAGCAGCTGCTTCGGAGCCGTGCTCGATGCGGAGCACGGGTATTTTCAAACAATAAAAGTCGAATATTAATTATGATCAAGTGCGAAGTCAGTTCTGCACTCAAGAACAATTCATTCATTCAGACTAATTCTTGTTTCACCTGAGGGTAAGTCTTACATGATGTATTTCGATCTCATGCATGAAGAGAGTATCACTTCATTAGAATTCGACACGTCCATTAGTCAAACTCAGTCATCCTTAAAAGAGTTCACTTCCCTTAATTCAAAATGGCTGCCACCTGCAGCGCTGGGAATATGTGGCAGGTGTTCTGAGTATTTACGTAATGGAATGTAGAAAAGGATCAAGGGCTGAGTTTTATCTAATATTGCACTCAACTACGAGTATAATAGCGAAACGAAAAACGAAGGGAATATATGTAAGGCAGCAGTAGCTGAGCCAATGCGAAATCCCCAACAAATGATAGGAGAAAATACATATGTTGATAACGTGAGGAGGGCTACCTCCCTTCCGTCCCTTGTCCACCAGGAAATGAAATGGCAGGAACGATTGCAGAGTAGTCGGATCCTTTCAAAATATCCCTTGTAATCTCCCGTCTCTGAAGAGGATGTGAGGAGGATGTGAGGAGGATGTGAGGAGGATGTGAGGAGGATGTGAGGAGGATGTGACTGACTAGGCCCATTTAAGTTTCGAAGGGTGCAATAGAGTAGACCTCTTTTCTACCATAAAACCTGATTCTTTCCCAAAGTCACACGCATTTGTCTTTGCCCCATTCAGGTATCACGCCCGAAAAGAAAAACTACTAACAATTCATTCGGAATGTGCCGTGAATCAATAATGATGCTGGTATGTGGGGATGCAGGGTTCAATCAGGTATTTGGCCACGTGGCTGATCAAGTTCGAGAAATCGTGGAACTCGTAACAACCAAATGTAAGGCCAGAAAGGCGCTGGAGCTCTAGGAAACCGAAGGAAGAGGTACGTCGACTGAGAAGACAATGAAATTTGTTGAAATAATTTCTCATGGAAATTTGTTGCTGCGGCTCACGTTCCTTTCGATCCGAAACCAATATTCAGAGATGAATATTTTTGTTTTACCCATCAACAGACATTGGTAGCTTAATGTGTTAAACTAGCGAGTTTGTTTGCCCATCGAACAAACAAACTCGCTATGCACGCGTCTTCGGCGATCTAAGAAAATTACTAATCCAATTAAAGCATCCGTTTTCGAAGTTTACCCCTAACGATGCGAACAAACTTCTCAGTTAACGTGTTTGGCGATTCCTGCGCCTTTGGCGCTCGCACCATAAAATAAAGTTATTTCAGAAAGTATTCGTAGCGACAGTCGACACAGTCTCCTTTACATATAAACCTCCAAAAGTATGTAATCGCAAACATATTATTTCAATAATTCAGTGCCTCAATGCAACAATTACTTGTAGACTGCGAGATCCCGAGCAACGAATTCGAGAGGTTTCAGTCGGGAAATTTTTGAAGCTCCAATATTTCCACCCGAACAAGATGCTCATTTTGCAAGAGCTCAATGAGGATGACTTGAATTTTTTATGAAACATTCAAGCAAAAAGAAATTTGCGGACGACTCCAATTTGACTTCGCGCCTTCGCTTCGATGAGAAAGCCGCATTTCTTTCCGAACGGCGATGGGAACAAGCACAACTGCAGATATTAAAGTCGAGAAAATCCGCGCATGAAAGCGGCGGGAATTTTCGCAATGAAATTGTTGGAACCCTTTTCACTTCGGAAAATCGAACTAGCGGAACGTAACTGGATTTGTTCCAAAGAGTTATGAGACCGGACGTTGTCGAGATAATTGAAACGGAATCGGACGGCCACGGTGAACCCATACAGGTCGAAAACAGTGTAATGTACCAGCAAGATTTGGCTTGACTAAAACAACTAATGAAGGAAACCTTAACCAGCGAAGAATGCAACAGCCATTTTAGGACCAGAAAAATAACAGCTCCAATTTGCAGGTGCTCTCATCTAGCGGCCACTTTGAAGATTAAATTATCCGAAAAGTTATGTTCCCTCACGTTTGCCGCATCCGGAATGCGCAGTCTGCTTAGAAAACTTTCAAATTCTCCATGATATTGTATGGCGCTGTCCTTCTGAATCCGCGCTTGCGTTGTTCGTCTAAGAAACTTAACTGACGTCTTCGATCCCTGCTGAAGTCATTACAATCGTTGACTTCAAGGTCTACCGGGCCGATCACAACCATCCGCATCAGAAGTCGGGGAACGAGGAATCGATCTACATAAATATTCTGTGGGATCCTTCTCCTGAGCTGTTCAATGTTCTGTTCATTGTGTTCATTCTGTTCATTGTGAAACATGAGCCAACGGGGAAGCAAGGACGATGCGGTCGATCGCATCGAAGACCTCGTAAATAATTTGTCGCCCGCGAGGATCACGCAGTCAGCGTCATGAAAAGGGCCTAATTTCACCCTATGCAGCTGGATGGCCGCATGCAGTTTCCATTCCCACGAGGAACAATGCCCATCTCGTTCAGATTTGGACGGTCATGAGCTTGGCACCGAAGTTCGCTCACCCCTGTCTCTTTGACCGAGCAGATACAACAGCAACAATAAATGACGTTGCATGAAACTCAGGAACCTCCGGACGATCCGGAAGCAATGAAATCCAACCGATCTGGTTTC